GTGCCCCGATGAAGTATAGAGGCTGAAAGCACCAAAAAAATCACCAGAACAACAAATGTTTTTTCCACAATACGAACATAGGCAAAAATGTCATCTAGAAATTGTTCTCATAATGCAATCTAGAAAAGAAATCACTAGAAACAGTTTATGGTTTTTTTTCTAGAAACTAACAAAAAGGGGTTCCAACATACTAGTGCCCCAATGAAGTATAGAGGCTGAAAGCGCATGAAAAAATCACCAGAAATGCCAAGGTTTTTTTCCATAATACGAACATAGGCTTTCACCGAGATGCCATCTGGAAACAGTTTCTGGTTTTTTTCCAGAAACTAACAAAAATGGGTTCCAAAATACAAGTGATCCGATGAAGTCTAGAGGCGGAAATCACCAAAAAAATTCACTAGAAATGCCCTTTTTTTCCCAGAAGAAGAACACGTGAATTCACCAATACTAGTGCTCGGAATTGGATCTAGAAACCGAAATCACTAGAAATAATTTCCATCAACTAAACATAAGGTTTTGGAAAAAACTTACCGAATTCGAGCCTATGGAGGAGGAGATTTGGTTCCCTTGGAGATTCCCCAAATGCGAGGAAGGGTTAGCAAGTCTGAGGTACCGGCGACGAGAGAGGTAGGGGGAGTAGGTTTGACGTCTCGGCTGGAGAGCCAACAAATTTCCCCGTTTTGAAGGGGTAACAAACGATGACAATGGTAGAGGAAGGGGGACACAAAACATGCGGAAGGGGGTCAATGGTGTGGGCGACGATTTTGAAATCTGGAGATTGGGGGAAAATAGCGCAATGGATTGAGGGCTTCAGAAATCGAATGAACGTTGAAGGAGCAGACCCAGCAACTATGGTCAAACGATTTCAAATCTCGCTAACAGGAGAACCACGTGATTTGCAGTGTAGAAAGAAGAGCTGAAAGCAAGCTTCAGCAAGGGTCAGGAATCTGCACTGTAGAAGTGCAGAGAAGTAACTCAAGTGGCAGGGGGAAGTTAAACTCAAAAACCGGTTGCTAACTCGAATTAATTTTCGAGTTCCAATTCGAGTTTTGCACAACTAAACGTGAACTTGGGCTTACTTTCAGCACTCAAGTGGGCTTTCTCAAGTAAGCTGAAGTAAACGAACAGGCCCTTAGTTTTTTGGGATATCTTCCTTGGTAGACGTTATTCTTTTGGGACATCACACAAACCAAAGTCTTCTAGGATTAGGAAAACAGTTGCGGTGCATCACACACAACTAAAGTCTTGAAACTCTAAGGGCTTGTTCTTTTGAGTGAAAAATTCAAAAAAATGCAACTCGAGTTACAATTTTATTTAAGTTCATGTTCTTTTAAGTTAAACTCGAGTTTATGACTAAAACTCGAGTTCAAGTTTCCCCTTCAACTCGAGTTCAAAAACTCAAACTCAAATTAATGAACAGTATTTTTCTATTCTTAAAAATGCTATAACTTTTTCGTTTTAATTCTGATTGAGATGATTTTTTTTCTATGCGTTGACAACGAAAAGACGAATAAAACCCGATCCATATACCCTATTAAAATTTTTCATCAGCATTGAGTTTTTATTAAAATACTATCTAAATACAAATTCAAGTTTTGACTCACTCAAACACAAACTCAAAAAGATTCTTATCTCAAACCATAACTCAAATGTACACAACCAAACACAAACTCAAATTACAAGTTCAACTCAAGTTATAACTCAAATTCAACTCAAGAATTATGCTCAAGTTAAACTCAAAAAAAACAAGCCCTAAAGAAATACGAATCCTTGTCTAATTAGGTAACAAAAGTCTTGTAGATAATAAGCCTAGTACGCGGAACAAAGACTATAAATTGGAGAGGAAGTGTGAAGCAAAGTGCTGAAAATCCATCAAGAACAGTGAAGAACTCTGTTGATTAAGAACAGTGAAGAACTCTGCAGAATTTTGATAAATCTATTAAGCTGCTGTTTAGAGTGTTTATATATCTCGATAACTGAGGTAAACCTTTTGCTATCCTTGGACTAAAGATGCATATTTTGAATTTAACAATGGAATTATATTTGGGATACCTTCCCTGAATTTGACTTTGATCAAGATATTTATATTCCAGACCCTATTGCGTTTACGCCAAAGTATTGGAAGCAAGCTCGGAAATTCATAAACTTTGTCGACAAGTCTTTGCAGAGATTCAGTTGCTGCAATTTGTTAATGGAGAAATTGGAGCTACGCATGCGTCTTATCGAGCGTAACCATTTTCCAATGATTGATCAATGGCTAGCATTATTTCTTAATCTAGATAGTGGGGTTCAAGAGATGCGCCTGATGGTCAAAACAGGTTACTCAGATTATGATGATGATGATGGTATCTACACTCTTCCTAAGACGGGTTGCTTTGGAGTTGTCATCCAAAGATATTATCAATTCCCACAAATTCAATGCACCAAAAAGACTGCATACAGGTATGGTTTTTACTTTTTTTTTTTAAACCTTATTTTGCTAGTAAATGGCAAAATACATATTCTTTGGAACGTAATGTCTGACATGATTACCTTGATGCTTTATAATTTATTGCCTAAGCATTGCATTTGTCTCGTGCTTAGTAGGTGGAAGAAACAAATATTTTTACTTAATTATTATTCATATTTTGATGCATATAGTTGGTGTTTTATATTGGAATTTGGATAATATCCCTGAGCATTGTGTTTAATGAATGGTTTAAGGAAACCATAAAGTTGGGATTTTTTTTTTTCAAGGGAATATTTTATTAATTTTCAGTACGTTTCATTTTTTATTAATACTAAAAAAATAAATAGAATAGAAAGTAAATGCTTTTACTTTTATTGTTTTGTCACCGGCATCATATGTGTGATCTGTCATTTCTAATTCGGCTAATAATACTCAAATTAAAAAATTAAACGCCCCTCTCCAACCCCTTCTCTTTTTTTTTTGTATTTTATATTTGTTAGCCTATATGTATGTACATACATCCACATTATATAAAATTACACATAGTGCCCCCTAAAATTTTAAAAATATACTCTTAGACCCTCAAAAAATTTAGAAGCACTATTTAAAAAAAATGAAAATCAAATAGACAAAAAAGTTTTAACACCCTGTGATGTAGAACAAGGTAGAAATTTGAGAATGGAGCAAGAATCTGATGGAGAAGAATAGAATCAAGAGGACAAATAAAACCACAAGGATAGAAATAGGAGGAGAATAAGAACTCAAGAGCAGAAAATTGAAATCTCAATATTCATTAATCATTAAAAAGTCATCCATAAATTTATACCATAGTGTATTTATTGTTCTTTTTAACATTTGAAAGAAATATGAAAGAAAGATGGATCAATATCCATTTCATACGTTTGTGTGCACAACAAGGCCTTCGTGTGCCAAAGTAGTTGCATCAAAGTCGTATTTAAGACGAGGTTTTTTTTTTTTTTTTATGAAAATATTTAAGACGAAGTTGTAAACATGCTTCCTATACAAGAAAAAAAGGGTATCCCGGAAAGTTTTCTTTTTTCTGTTTGTTTAGAATTGGACTTTGTCTTATTTATTTGTCTTCATTAGTTAATTGTCTCCATTAACTAAGATACTGAATGGCTTGCGCAGCAAGTTATTAATAAAGTCCAAGAAACCTCTCAAACCTAAACCATGAACATACTATAGTTTTATTTCCAAAAATAGAAGTAAGCTTATAAAAATTGGGTATGATTAGAGTGAAACGGATCTAAAAATGTTCTGATGCACTTCATTCTCTTCTACTATTTGTATTTCTCTATGTCTATTCCAATTTGAGTTTCCGAGCAATTTTCTCTGTACATGAAAATGTGTCAAAAAGTCTTTATTATTCCTGTTCTAAAGGCATAAAAAAATAAAAAATAAAAAATAAAAAACCGTGAAAATACCTACCTAGATACTATGTACCAGCACAAAGTTTCGGTATAGAGGCGTGTATTTCTTAAGCATCATTTGTTGAACAATTGTTTATTCTTTTCTTGAGAAAAAATTATCTGAACAACCGTGAAATAGAAAGTTTTCCGGACAGCAAAAATGTACTTGTAACTTTTTGGCATAGGAATTTTGAAAAAGTCAAGTCAATGGCTGCCACACGTATTGGAAGAGAAGTTGCTTGCCTTGGTATAATTCTCAATCCCTATAAGTTCATACTAATACGTGTTGTTAGCAGCAAACTGCATTTTCAAAGTTGCTTAGCCAAAGGCAGAGCCAAAAGGACTCCAAAAACCATGTCTGTCAAGAAAACTGTCTCGCTAAACCACGGCGAAGCCGCTAAGGGCGATACCGGAGCAAAGCGAGCAAAGTTCGGCCGTTTCTTCTCTTTCAGGCAGGTATCCATGGAACCAGGGAAAACTCTCAAAGAAATGGACTCAAACAAGTTGAAATCTGAGATTAAGAGATGGGCTAAGGCCGTTGTTGCATATGCCCGCCAAGTCAGTGCTCGCTTTGGAAGCTCCCGCGGCTAATTTCAACCCACTAATAGCATGTAAATTCTCCTCAAAGGGCTAACAACATGTAGATATCAGGGCCAAAAATGATGAAAATTTTTTATTCTTTGTATTGGTTGGAAGTGGCAACTTTTGTACAGCACCGAAAAAGAGCTTTGTTGTAGCTGATTCTGAAGATGGTGTTTGATTGTATACCTGGGCTTGAAGGAAATAAAGGACTCTGGTTTTCTCAGAGTGATGTATATAAACTGATTTCATATTTTTCTTCGTATGCACTTTGTTTTGTGGCTTTTTCAAAGGCTAGGTTCAATTACTAGCCATAACTGTATTGAATAATGCAATAATTTAATTGTATCATAAAACCGTCGACTTGGTTTTATTGAATAAGATTCATAGTGTTCAAATTACTTGGTCTATGATTAGCACTACTTCGTTGAGTTCACATCATTGTTTTCTTCATTTGCTATTATCCAAAGGCACTTAAACACCACCCCCACTCTCTAATTTTTATAAACTTTACTGTTTTACAAAATTTCCATTAAAACTAAAATAAAAATAATAAAAATAAAAATAAAAAATCTATTTCCTGATACAACAGGCCACAGCAAGTCAAAACTTACATATCAGCAAGAACTACAGCACAAGATTCTTGTTAATATGATGACACAGCTCTAATCCACTGCCTCCAACTTCTTTACCTCAGCAAATGCCCCTTCTCCTCCAGAAATGGTCCGCAAAAGCTGTTTAGAACACATGTCCTGTGCCTGTGTCGCGTTTTTCATTCGGTTGGCTCTCACCCAGGCAGGTTCCTGCAAGTAAAACAAAGTTACATGCTATTAATCTGGCATAAAGTGACAACTTGCTCTTGTTTTTTCACCATTTTATGTTTCAGTAATGAGAGTACATTTGGGTTTGGACAAAAAACAAAAAATTCTCTCAAAAGGAAAGAGAAATCACCTCGGGAACAAAGCGCGAAAATCCAAACTTTATCAGGAGGAGGACATGTTCCATGACAAGGATCGCTGCGAGTCCAGGCTCTATTTTCCATTTACCCTCTCGATCATATAACCATGCCAAAAGTGCACAGTTGGTGCATATAGACATCAATATAAGAAACTGAAATTTGGATAACATCCTCAATTAGGGAGAGAGTAAGAATGAACATGTATAACATTGTGATAAAACGTATAAAGTCACCTCACCAAAGCTATAACTCGTACTGTGAAAGCATCGTTATAGTAAGACAATCACATAGCAAACGTGCAAGTTAAAACATGTCTCATCTTGATACAAGTACCTGAAAAATGTTCAGCCAAGCTCCAATCGTCATGGCAGCACGAGGAACAGGCCTTTTAAACATGGTAAGCAGCTTTACTGCATCTGTCCTGATTTCAGTGATGTTATTCTGCAAAGAGTGGAATTTCAGAATACATTACTTAACGAAGAACCAAGTTGATCAACAATAAAAGAACCATTAAGATCTCTATACCAGAAAAGCAAAGGCAAATGTGAGGGGAAATGCACAGGCAAACATCATGATAAGTCCAAACTGCAATGCCAACTCCAAAAAATCTGCAGATGAATTTGAAGTTTTGATTAGTAACAAAACTTATAGAGGACGTCCTTTATTGCTCCAAGATCTTTCCTCAACTGAAATTACATCCCCAAACCAGTATTTTCATAGAAAAGAATAAGGGGCATTAAGACATTTTCATTCACCATCTCACTATAAAATGACAAGAAACTTGAGTTAACTAGGAGTTCGATTTTCTTCACCACTCCAAGTTCCTAACTCGATGGCATTTTTTCTTTTTGCCGAGTTATATGAGCTCACTCTCTCTTTTTCCTTTTCAGTCGAGTTACATGAGCTCACTCTCTCTTTTTCCTTTTCAGTAATGCTAATATTAGGAAGCACGTTCTTAGAACTATAAGAGGTAAGATAAAATGTTCTTTACTACACATCATAGAATAGTCTTTAACTCTTTACTACATATTATTTTAAAGTGAGCCATATATTTTCTACTCAGATATATTTGGCACATTACCATCAAAGAGTCCATCTTCAAGCTCGTCGCCTATGCTTGCAGAATAGGAAGGTTTCAAGTACTCTTTCTCAACCCTGGAAGTAAACTGAATTTTCCCAGTTAAGGATCCCTTTTCACATTTTCTCTTCCTTCTACATACAAGAAACATGAAAAAAATTTGCATATGCATAAGCCCATGTTACAGTAACCTACAAGGTATAACCCACAATGTAAGAGGTCAAGAGATGATAGTCAAATGGAAGCTCACCGGATTCTATATTTCTTGTAACTATATTTAAGATAAGGTAAAGAATTCTCCAACAGGTTTTCCAACACCTGGCAAATGTCGCAAATTTCAAGCACATTAAACCATATAGTAGATAAGAATATTTACTCCAAATGCTATCCATGTAAATCACCTCAGACACAAGGAGGCGCTGAATCAAGACTTGGCGGAGAGTCAAAAAGCTACGGTGCAAGAGTGCATGGTAGAAAATACCTATATATGATTGCATAAAATACAGACCAAAAACCTGCAAAGAAATTAAACCTGTTAACAACATCAAAATGTCTGTTAACAGAGAATAAAATCCCAAGTACCAGTTTCTGCTGAATACCTTGTAGACCAAGCTGTCTGCTCTTTTTTCTTTGTTTTCATTGTTTTCATGCTTAATGAGCCCGACCGAGATCTTACCCCCAATATGGGTAACGTATTGAATGGCAAAAAGATAAATGGTTGTCAACCCAAACCTAAAAGGCACAGATACAAAAATCGTCATCCTCATGCCACGAATCCATAAAGAATCAACACGACAGAAGAATGAATTTGTAATTGTTTATATCAAGTAGTTCTGGAAGGTAACCGTGAAGCAATATGACACACCAGTCTACTCTGGAAGCTAAACTTCTAAAATGGAAAGTTTATTTGGAAAATATGAAAAGAAAGTTCTTATCATAGCAAAAGTAACTCATTGCCTTACTTCATAAGATCAGACTCCGTAACCTCGTAAGTATGAGCATAGGCCACTTCAAAGGGCAACTGGAGGCATATAATACTTAATATAACAAGAGCATCATTTCTGAATCTCATGAGCCGTCCAAACCACTCATTCCTTTGGAAAATCTCTTTCTCTTTTGCGTTGTCAGTCACCCGTTTTTTTCTTATTAGTTCCATAGGTGACTGCAAAGAACTCCATTCCATGCCCAAAAGTTTGTATCCAGCGTCAGCTCCAATTGGATAACTAATTTGCCATCTATGAACTCATAGCCAAAGAAAGTGAAGAGAGAGGCATATGGAATGAAGAAAAAAATAAAATTTGAAACATTTGTGCTGAATGGAGTATCTATTGGCCCAGAAAAGCAATTCAATAACATATTTACCTGGCTAAGAGGGCAGAATTTTTACGTTTCCAGAACTGGGAGAACATTATTGCCCACAGAATAATGAATATGAAGAAAATGGGAAGCACCAGTAACTGCAATGGCCTAAGAAAGCACAAAAAGCCATGCTTACGAACATTATTGCACAAGATACACAAATTTATTTTCATAATCTCCAGGAACAATAGGAGGGCATGTTGAACACTCACCCAAAATCAATAATCTGCAACATTATGCCAAAGGCAGCTGGAAACAGTAACCACCGTGTGTACATTCCAAGGAAAGCAAAGTAGAGCGCGATCTGTAAAACGGTAAAAGTGTATCAAATTCCTGTTCAAACGTTTACGCAAACAAACGCTAAAACCATTTTCTATGTGATCACTAACCTTTGTCCCAAAGTACGAGTAAATATCATCTACTGGCTGGTTTGTGAAGTCACGCCAATGTAATGCCCAGCTATGGAGGAGTTTCTTCCTTTTCGTTTCATCTATCAACGAGAGAATCATCTTATTTTAGAGTCAGATTGATGCCAGAGATAAATAAAATTTCTTGATAAACAAGACATACCGTGCAATGGGAATACTTGCTTAACAATGCCCTCAGATCCCAACTTCTGCAGCAAACATTCCCCGACTTCCCATCGTACTTCTTTACCATTGTGTTCAAGAATTACAGCTGACTTGCCCTTGTTCTCCTGTAATGTATACGTATATCACTTGTCTAGAGATGCCAACACCATTGTAAATTGTACTAAATGGAAAATATTCGACTCAAAGTACTACTTTTATGGGACTTAATCCATCAGTAATATAAAGTGTGCGTACAGATGCATACCTGGACAGTCATAATGGTTAATTGTTTTTTAATTCAACAACAGATACTGATAAATCATCATAAAAGAGTAAAGAGTAATGAAATCAAAATCAATACCGACTATCAAAGTCCAACCATCAAAGCCAAACTAGTTGGATTTTCCAAATCCAAAAGGTTTTAAAAAAAATGATTAGAAGAAGGGAAATGACGTCCTACAAAGATTATTATCACTCACAATTCCATAAATTAAGTGCTGATAACAATGAAATCTCTCACTCCAACTGAACAATGAACCATCAGGTTGCCTCACAAAGGCCTCAGCCTCCTCCCATTCAAATTGCAAATCCACTCCTGAAATCAGGTGTTGCACAATGATTCATTCAGTCATTTTCAATTAGGAAAACGAAAACATCTTTAGAGGAAAGAATTGCTGAATATTACCAATGCGGGTCCTTTTCTTTATTTGCAACCTGGCTGCAGCCTTTCCCAAAGTCTCCAGAGATGCTGCCAGCTGAAACAAACACAAGGAAACCAAACACACACTACATATCATGCATATACATATTCATATATATATATATATATATATGCGTTTTTTTTCCCCCTACTAAGTGATGCTCGAAAACCTAGAAAAGGAAGAACTTATGCAACCGCCAGCCATGAAAGTAAAAATCTTTAATAAGGAAATTGCAAAGTGAGAAAGAAAGGAAAGGAATTTATATTAAAAACCTTGATAAACTGATCAGCAACGCCAATGACTCTCTCGACTACAAGACCCACATTCTTAAACTCACGTACAAGAGCCTCCACACAGTCGGAACTTTCGTCCTCTGCCTTGACATTACTCGTCTTCGGAACCACCACCCCAATCTCAAAAGCCGGTTGTTCCTCCTCGTGATCTTCCATTTCCAAAAACCAAGAAAGCTTCGAATAGAAAAGCTTTTAGATCATTGCATTAGGGATCGAACGAAGAAGGAGGGGTTTTGCGCACATGTGTTTCAACAGTTTCTGAAAAAAAAAAAAAAAAAAAAGGAACTTTTATGTGTAATTGTAATTGTTCAGATGGAGAGCTTTTATGGTGAAAGAAATAAATGAAGGGGATGGCATTGAAACCGAAATGTAGTGGGGGAATTCTTGTGAATATAACGAAAGACAAAACAGAGAAACCTAGACAGATAGAGAGAGAGACAGACAGACAGAGGAAGACGACGGAGGAAATGAAAATAGGAAGGAGAGAAGACAGGTGTCTGAGAAGACGGGTATTGAGGGAGAGCTGTTGCCAGGGACGGACACATAACTGTTTACGACGGCGAACGTATGAGCTGGACACGTGGTTTTAAAAAAAAAAAAAAAAAAAATTTCAAATTTTTATTTTTTTTAGTTATTCAAATTCAAATTCTATAAAGACCCGTCCCACAAGCGAGGTGGGCCCAGTAACGAGACGCCAACACTGTTTGGCAAATAAAGCCTGATTGAATGCCGACAATATCTCTAAAGCCCATACCACCCTCTCTCTTAGGCCTACATAAATTCTCCCATTTTAGCCAATGAATTTTCTTCTCCGACTCGTCACCGCCCCACCAAAACTTCGCAATCAAGGCCTGACTTTCAATACAAAGTTTTAAAATTTTAAGTTTACCATTTGAAACTCTGATTGTCGTCTTTTCATTAACGTCCATTATAAATTGCACTGTATTAGTTTGCAAATTAGACCTTGAAGGTTTTTTTTTTTTTTTGAGAGGATTTTTATTCGTTTGGTTGATAGATTCTTACTATGATTTAAATCATAATTTGTAATTCGTTACAGTATTTTTTCTTATAAAAAACACACGTAAATTGAAAATGATTCTGAATCTATGAACCAAATGTCATTTGTGAAAATTCGAATTCAGAGAATTTTGTGCACCTATACTCGTAACAAATCAAATACTAAAAACGTGACAAGGTACTAAATTGCGAGACAACAAATGACAAATTTGAGTCACCTTGTCTCACACTAGACGACGAGGTAAAGCGGTGATAAATATGGAAAGAAGTCAAGAACATCATTTTTGGTGGCTACGCATCCCTATGCGTCCTCGGTGTATTAAATGTAAAACACCAAACGGCAACATTTATCCACTCGTGAGCACTTTGCTTTGGTATCTTTCTTCTACTCTCTTTCTGAAACGGCAATTTGTATGCAGTGGCTATGTGCAGTGATTATTCTGCAGCCGAGGTCAGAGCTGATTATAGGTTCAATTACAAAGATTCTTGGAACAACCAAGTGGGCGTCGTTATGTGAACTTCCAGGCTACATTTTATCTTTCTTGGATTATATTCCTTCACTCACTGCAAAGTGAGTTGAGCTATTCAATGCACAATCATACAACTAGTTTTATTTTCTTGTCCCAGTAGTTGTTGTTTAGCGAACAATTATCATTTCTGGTTGTTGGGGGGCCGATTTGGCTGCCGTGTGCTATCCGCTGGTGTTGAGGAGCCTTCCCGTGGGAAGGTTCGTGCCGCCGGCAGGGGGTGACCTGGGGCAGATTCGGAATGCCCAAAATGTGTTCCGAGGAGGTGTGAGTGCTCTCTGGTGCTTTGGCCACTGGAGGATGGGCGTTGAGGGTCCTCAGAACCACGAATCGTGGTGACGGTCGCGCTCAGATTTTGTGTTTCTGTAGTTGTATTTTTCTATTTTTCTATGTTTGTTGTAACAAGAGTGCTGGTTTCCCCACCCACCTTTCTTTTGAGAGACGTTTGGTTCATGGATTAGAATCATAAGATTGAGATAATTTTTAATTTACGTGTATTTTTTGTGAGAGAAAACATTGTAGCGAATTATAAACCATAATTTGAATCAGGGTACGAATCCTTCAACCAAACAACCCCTTTATTGTTTATTAGTTTGTTATTTGTTGTTAGATTTTGGTGTTCGGTTTAATACCGAATGTTTTTTCACTGAAATGGTAGTCTTAGTCCGGCTAGAATCCTTTCTAGTCTGTGTAGATGTCATCTCTTTTTGAAGTTTTATGATATTTTCCTCCAGCGCTATGGGGCCTTATCTATTTGGGAGGGGTTTTACCCTTTTCAAGCCTTTAGTATGCTTGCCCGAGGTGATTTTTCGTTTTCAAACTTCAAACATGCATTTTACCCTCGAGAGTTAGCTAAATTGTACTGAGACGACTGTGTTGTATCTGTTTTTCTGTTAATGCAATTCCACTTTCAAAAAAATCAAAAAAATATATTAAAAAATTTTCTCGCAAAAAGGTGCATAAAATAAATAATTTTAAGTTGAAAAAAAAAAGATGACAGTCTTGTAAATAAGATTGAAAAAATGACTGATTGTTAAGCGTATTTATTCGATAAAATCAACATGCTATATGTCAAACAAATAAGATAACATCTGTAATAGAGTCTGCATTTAGCATTCATCTTCCTTTAATTCCAGATATATGTGATGAATGTTTAAAAAGAAAGCTAACTGCAGTTGTGAAGCCTTAGGAATTAGCAAGATCTTATTGCAATCAAACGAATTCCTTGCCCGATAGAGGCTCTTTGCTCATCTCTTTCCAACTACAAGTATTCTCTATTCAATAAGTGTATAGACCATGTTATAGTCCGTTTGGTTCATGAATTAAAACCATGAGATTAGCACCATTTTCGATTTACGTGTATTTTTTATAAGAGAAAATACTGTAGCGACCCATGAACCATGATTCAAATCAAAGAACGAATCTTCGAACCAAACGGGCTCGAATCATTACTCAAGTTATGACTCAAGTCATATTACTACAGTGTTTTCTCTCACATAAATTTAAATTTAACTTTTTTGTTACAGTGTTTTGTCACATACATAACTCAAGTCATGACTTATATTGTACAAATGAACACACTCTAAGAGTTAAAACCAAAATCTTCAAAAATACTATTTTCTTTGTTTTCCCTCCACTTCTTTATACCTTTCTTGTTGAAAGAAATGCGTTCATCCATTGTCCACATTCTGACGAACAATGGTAGGCAAATTATGTAACTATTAGTCTATTAGTAACAAGTATAAGGCTATAAGCTATCACGGTTCATTTTGTCGAGCCAAACAGAAAAAACCATAGTTTTTTTTTAGCACACACTAGATTTCTTCTATGTAATAGAATCCCGACATCAACACCAACTAATTCTCCAAGTAATTAAGTGAAAAACCAATTTCAACATAGGACTAGGCATGTAAGCAGAATGAAGAACAACTTTAGAAAGCATAATGCCACCAGCACAGAAAGAGCTAAATAGGAGTTAAAAAAAAAATATTCTTAACAATTACTATGCTTTCAGTTGTGTAAACCTCTCTCTCTTAGATTAACCCTGATTTCTGAAAGGTAAGTACTCGTATGACTCTTCTAACCAAGATCAACATTGTATCGATATCCAACACGCACGTTAAAATTCATTCAAGAAACTCCATAAAACACAAGACACAAGCCACCAAAATCAACAGCCAGACACCAGAACTGGAAACCGGTCTTCTATGAAGCAGAAAAGGGGAAAAAGAGAAAAAGACACAATCCAAAGTCATATGTTGATCGGAGTAAAATCCAAGCAGCGGCAAAATAAAACAGAACCCTGCCAAATCCCCTTGTTGTAAACAAATGAGAAACAGATTATGCAACAATCATATGCGTACCCGGTACCCCCTCCTCGAAATATCTGATGTAGAGAGAATCTAATGAAATCCCAAGACAAAGGCTACTGAAATTTAGGTGTAAAGAATGATTGAAGCTCTTCCTCGTGACTATTTACCACTATTTAACATCAATTGTACAAGTTTTAATTTTATGTTAATAATACTCTACTATAAATAGCAAGCACTCCAATCTTCCTCATATACGATACCATAGCACTAAAGAGAAGAATATTGCACACATGAAAAGAATACTAGCTAACTAACAATCCAGATATCAAAATTAACTTGCTACAAACTCGGATACAGTTTAAACCACTTTCTCTCTAGTTTCTACCAATAGAAGAGCAAGCAAGTGGAAGGAGAACTATTAAAGAGCATTAGAAGAGCGTTATCATATGTTATGAAGAAAGGTACCAAATGAACAAATGCATTCCAGACTTGCAATTCGACCAAACCAAAAAACATTGACATCCACGGTGTCTTTCTTTGGACATTCTCAAAAAACTAGGAAAACTTCATCAAAGAAAAGGGATAAAACAAAGCAAAATCATCCATAAGCAACGGCATTGATGCCCATAATGCACATTCCCACAAGAAATTTTACTACCATCGATATCCATGTAAATTATTCATAGAGACGCAAAATCATTATATTTAAGCACAAACTTCCAAGCCCAAATGGGGAAAAGCCAAGAGATGACACCTAGAGCACCTTTTTAACACCAAAAGGAAGATAAACTTAGACAGGAATTATATGTTAAAAGGCATCAACACTAGCACACAACAAAGTTAACGTCATTGGTATGAAAGAAAAAACAGAGCGAAAGCTAAACTCAATCAAATTTACACGCATAATAAGTTCTAATTTTGTGAACAGCAGTAATCACTCACATATATAATCACATAATACATAGCGCATACGAAATCCTCATGATCATGGGTCAATTTCCCTTTAAAAATAAATTTTAACCTCTAGCCTTAAGCTCGGCAAGGCGTCTGGAGAGATCGTCCTCGTCGACCTTCTCGGTCTCCTTGGCAGGCACCGCGTGCGCCGCCGGCTGCGGGAGCCCGACCGACACCTCGAGCCCGTAGTCGTCGGCCACCTGCTGCATCAGGCTGTTGACCTCGCCCTCCGGCGTCGACAACGAGGTGGACCCAGCCATGGCGCTCTCCATGAACTCCGCCTGGACCTCCATGTTCACAAACTGTTTCTCGAACTGATCCATCGTCTCCGACATCTTCTGGAGGTTGCCGGTGGCCAGGGACGACTCGAGAGACTTAACGATGTTCGCCATGGACTTGTTGATTGTGGTCATCTTGGCCTGCGTGTCGAGCCGAGCAACGACGGCGTCGAGCCGCGACGCCAGCCGCAGGTAGTTCATCTGCTCGGTGCGCTTGCGGATCGCGTTCTCGGCGTAGATTCTAGCGCCGTCAATGTTTCCTTTCTCCATGGCCTTCTTGATCTTGAGCTTCTCTGACTTCTCTTCCTTCTCGCACTTTCGGGACTGGCGTTGAAGCGATTTTGATGTGAACTTCAACTCCATGATCTGGTTCATCAATTTCTCGGTGTTCCCCATGGCGATGATTTCTGAGGAATTCGATTTCCGATTCTAGGGTTTCGTTGTTTTAGGAAAGCGAGTGTTTTTATCGGAGACGAAGATCGGGTTTTGAATTGATTATGTGCTATTTTTGCTTGACTTGGTTTTCCCTTTCGCAAACGCGTTGATACGACGCACACACAACGCGGTTCTACGGGCCCTTGCTTATGGGCCGTTATGTATCACCAGTCAAGTGGGCTTAATATGTCGGCCTAGCCTGTCCAAATTCTTTGCTTAAGCGTTAAGCGTGTCGTTTCTAGTGACAAAAATGAAAAGAAAAGAAAAGAAAACACGTCGTTTATAGTTAAAAAAAATGAAAAGAAAAGAAACGCGTTTCTAGTTAAAAAAATGAGAAGAGAAGAAAAGAAAACACATGTCGTTTTATTCCTTGAGGAAAAAATGGCATGCCGTCACTTAACATATCGTACAATTAAGACCAATAATTACTTATATATAGTAAAAATTAAGAGGCAGGATAGCTAAGCAAAACAAAAATATATAAAAGTTAAGATGAAATCCAACCACACCAAGGGGTTGTTCTTTTGGTGTGTTCTTTTAAAGTGTAATTTGAGTGTAATTTTTGAGTTAAATTTGAGTTATAACTTGAGTTGAAGTTGTAACTTGAATAAAGTTGAGTAAAGTTGAATAAAGTTAAAAATTAAAAGAACGTGAACTTGAATAAAATTGTAACTTGAGTTTAAACTTTTTGTGAGTTTTGTTACAAAAGAACAACTCCCAAGTCTTTTGCTTTGTTTTTTTTTTTTTTTTTTTTTTTTTTTTTTTTTTTTTTTTTGAAGTATGTTGCTCTAGTGGTTAATAGATTTTAAAATAGGTTGTATGAGTCTTGTGCAAATGAACAGAGAGGAAAGGAAAAGAATGTAAGAGCATCTCCAATATAGCATATGGCATGTTTAGCACTTCTTTTGAGATAGAAGGGCCGGTTGTTCTTTTAGAGTCCGTTTAGTTCATTGATTTGAGTTTTTAATTTGAGTTGAGATATGATTTTATGTGAGAGTTTTTTACTGTAACAAAAAAGTTAGATGCGACTGTTTTTGATAACTTTTTACTGTAACAAAACTTGAATTCTAAACTCAAATCGGCGAAATAATTGGGGCCTTAATTATCTTCACTTTCTACAGCCAAATTATGTCACTTTCTCCCTTGATTCCTAATGCACAACTTCATTTTGTTAACTTTATTTCTTTAGTAAGTAACCTCTTTCCTTCATATTTCATTCAATTTTGTAGCCTTTTTTGTTGACGTGGTCGTAACATAATCAGCAAAACAGATGGAAGATTAATTATTTAATATGGGTTGGTTATTTTTGTAAGTGTCAGTATATGGTCGAATTGGTTTGGTTTGAGTTAAACCAAACCATCAAAAGTTTAAAACTAAACCCCAGATAAAATTTAAGACTTGTTCGGTTGCATTTTTTAGTTATAGTGATTTTAGTGTAGATTTTGAGTTAAAATTGAGTTAAAATTGTAACTTGAGTTTGTGTTTGGATGTGCATATTTGAGTTATGATTTGAATTGAGAATCTATTTGAGTTTGTGTTTGAGTGGGTCAAAAGTTAAATTTATATTTAGATAGTATTTTAATAAAAACTCAATGGTGATGAAAAATTTTAATAGGGTATATAGGTGGAGTTTTATTCGTCTTTTCATTGTGAACGCATAGAAAAAAAATCGTCTCAATCGGAATTAAAACGAAAAAGTTATGATGTTTTTAAGAATAGAAAAAATATTGTTCATTAATTTGAGTTTGAGTTTAAGAACTTGAGTTAAAGGGGAAACTTAAACTCAGATTTTAGCCCCAAACTCAAGTTAAAAGTTAAGTTAAAACTCAAGTTCAAACTCAAATTTTACAAATAAATATGAACTTGCATAAAGTTGTAACTTGAGTTTAAGGGGCTGTTCGGCAGGGTTAAAAACTCAAAAAAAAAAAAAGCCCACTCGAGTTTCAATTTTATTCAAGTTCATGTTCTTTTAAGTTTGAACTCGAGTTTGGGACTAAAACTCGAGTTCAAGTTTCTCCTTCAACTCGAGTTCAGAAACTCGAACTCAAATTAATGAACAATATTTTTTCTATTTTTAAAAATGCTATAACTTTTTCGTTTTAATCCTGATTGGTTTTTTTTTTCTATGCGTTGACAACGAAAAGATGAATAAAACATCACCCATATACCCTATTAAAATTTTTCATCACCATTGAGTTTTTATTAAAATACTATCTAAATACAAATTCAAGTTTTGACTCACTCAAAAAAGATTCTTATCTCAAACCATAACTCAAATGTACACAACCAAACACAAACTCAAGTTATAACTCAAATTCAACTCAAGGACTACACTCAAGTCATACTCCAAAAGAACAGGTCCTAAATTTTTTTTAAGTTCTACTCCAAAAGAATAAGCCATAAGTACCTCAACTTTAACATCTCTATAGTCCTAATTAGTGGTGCAAGTTCGGGCGGCGGGCATGTGCCATTCGCCGCCCGTCCAGGGTATTTTTCGGGCACGGGCTCGGGCAACCCGAAAATATTCATTCCCCCGACTGCCCGCCGCCGTGGAGAAGTTGTCCCCTGCCGTCCGCCAGATTTTTTTTGAATTTTCCAGCGTAACCCGAATGTGCCCAAATTTTACCCGAATTTGCCCAAATTTTTTGGACCATTACCTGAATTTTTTTTACCGTTACCGAATTTTGCCCGTTGCCCAAAAATGCCTGAATTTTTTTGACCATTTGCCCGAACCCGACCCGCCGCCCAATTTATGCCCGAAAATTCAAACCCCAACGGCTACATTTTTTACCGTTGCCTGAACCGCCCGAATCCTGCCCGACCCGCCCGATTGCCCGAAAATGTTACTAGCCGTTGGACTCGAATTTTTGGGGGAAAAAAAAAATTTTCAAGCCGAAAATTTTCCTATAAATACCCCCCCTTTCCCCCAACCATTTTCCTCACCCAAAAACTCTCATTCTCTCTCAATTTCTCTTAATCTCTTTTAATCTCGCTTAAATCTCTATCGATCTCTCTTAATTTCTCTTAAAGCACTCTCAATCTCTCTTATGGTTATGGTGGTGATATTCCCATTGATGCCCAATTCAACATCGAAGAAGGGCAATTTCCTAATATTTTTCAAACGCAGGAATCGCAAACTACAGAAAGAGTTACTGAGGAAACTGCAAATTCGACCCCTGGTGGACGTACTAGAGGTCAGGGACGTAATGGTGGTGGCACTGGTGGCCGTGGAGGAGAGGCAAACGGTAGTGCTAGTACAAGTGTTGCAAGTTCTAAGAAGAAATGCAAGCGCACCTCAGCAGTTTGGTAGCACTTCAACACATTCGAGGAGATCGACAATAACGGTAACATTAAATACATAGCTCAATGTAAATATTGTGGTGAGAAATTACAAGGTAACACTATTCACGGCACTACACACTTAAGAAGACACTCTGAAAAGTGTCTTCAAAAGTAAGGAGGCGGAGCTGATCTCCGCAAAACTTAATTATCGTTTGACCGCCAAACCGACGGTCTAAGCATGTGGAAATACGATCCGCAAGTTGATCGTATGAAAATGGCACGACTAATAGCCACATTAGATCAACCACTAAGTTTTACTGAACAAAGAAATTGGCAGCGTTATATTAAAATTGTACATAATCCTAATGCATAATTTTTTTTCTAGAACTACTCTTAGGAAATATGTATTAAAATTATATAAACAAGAAAATGAAGCATTAATCAACGTTCTATACTCTACTAGTGGTTGCATTACGTTAACAGCGGATATTTGGTTCGCCGTTGCCAACAATGATTATTTAGTTGTAACCGAACATTATTATAAAGGTTTTGATTTGGATAAGAGAATCTTAGGTTTCAAATGTGTTAGAGGATCACATACTGCCAATTTAATATATAACACAATTTTATCTGTTATTGATGAATATAGTTTAAGAGATAGAATAATGGCCACAACATTAGATAATGCAACTGCGAATACTAAAGCAATAGAACTTTTTGAAAATGATTTAAGTTTATTCAGTAATAATGATATTTTCCACCAACGTTGTGCATGTCATATAATTAATTTAATAGTAAAATCCAGTTTAAAATCAATGTCAGGTCATATTAAAAGAATTAGAGATAACATTGCTTGGATTCAAGGTAGTAATCAAAGAATACAAGATTGGTTTAGATTTCTACAAGCATGTAATCAAAATC